AGGGCACTCCTGCCGCTCCGCGCCCCGGCCCTTCCCGGGCTCGGTCAGCTCCCGACTGGGTCGGCCATTTCGTTGACTAAATCTGAAGACAAACCAAAGAAAAACAACCGAGATTAGAATTTTGCGAAACATACAAAAACAGAACGAATTTAATATTGAACATGGATTAGAGTAAAATAACATCGCTCCTTGAATTTAAATGTTTTCATGGAGGGGGGTGGGGGTCTACTAAACCCTTGCCAAACTGAATTGAGATGTTGCGTGTGTGAGGGATTTGCGATTTGACTGCTGTTTCTCATGTAAAAGTTCGCGAGAAACACGATGGTGGCACTGGTTTTCTCTGAAATCAACTCCCAAGCTCAAAAAAAGCTCTCAAGTTGAGGCCAATCTGGAGAGGATATCCCACCCTACCCTGAAAGTCCACATATACATCAAAACAAACTCTCCATGCAAAGATAGGGAGCAAATACATTAGCAGGGTTGCCGTGTTTTCATTTTTGGAGTCCCCAAATGAAGTGGCAGCCCTGTCAATGTATTTGCTCCCTATCTTTGCATGGAGAGTTTGTTTTGATGTGGAGGTGGACTCTAAGGGTAGGGCGGGATATCCCCTCCAGTTTAACCACACTGTGAGAGCTTTTTTTGAGCTTGGGAGATGATTTCAGAGAAAACCAGTGGCACCATCGTGTTCCTCGCGAACTTTTACATAAGAATCAAAAGTCAAATCGCAAATCCCTCACACATGCAACATCTCAATTTTCATTACCCCCTTCGAAATTGGATTCATCCGAGGATGTCCCGGGTAACTTCCTGTATAGGTTAACACAGAAAAAACATTACATACGAAATAACTTGATACAAACAGACTTGCCGAAAGCCAACTTCGAAAATGCCTTCTAAAGGATAGATTAACTCGGCATTTGTATGATGCGCGGATCGTAAAACAGTGGAAGAATATTGTTAGTTGGGTTCGAACCCAACATGCAACTATTTTAACTCTGCAGTAGGCCAGATTGCATACACTCGATTTTGCGGGCGAAATCAAGGAGCGTAAAACAGTGGAAGAATATTGTTAGTTGGGTTCGAACCCAACATGCAACTATTTTAACTCTGCAGTAGGCCAGATTGCATACACTCGATTTTGCGGGCGAAATCGCGGAGCGTAAAACAGTGGAAGAATATTGTTAGTTGGGTTCGAACCCAACATGCAACTATTTTAACTCCGCGGTAGGCCAAGGTTGCATACACTCGATTTTGCGGGCGAAATCTGAGATCTGCCTCTATTTCTCGCGATAGAGTTCGGATAAAATCAGTGTTTCGTCGAGCGCATCAACGTCGTGATAGAGCTAAGACAAAGCCCAAGTGTCCAAAATTTTGGTATTTGGCCATTTTTTATCGGGAGAAACTTGAAAGAAAAATAAAGGAAGGTTCAACTTAAAAGTTAAATGTAATCGGCCTTACGCGTGTCATACGTGTCAATTTTGGGCCATTCTCCTTATTGTTAATAGGCGACAAAAATTTATCAGAGGGAATATTTTAGTAGCCCATGAGTTAATTTCTGATTTCTTCCTCGATTTGTTTGAAGGTAATGGTCAACGTCTGAACTTTTAAGGTCTTGAAAACTATTAACGGAAGAAAATTCAAAAGTAGGTTCCTTCAAATTGAAATATAAATAAAGTCTCTGCAAGATCCGTCATATTAATTGCAAAGAACGGAAAAGTGCATTCGTTTCTTTATTTTGCGCTTCGGTGAAATAGCAAGGAAAATATCGGTGTTTAAGAGGAAATACGTAATTCCGAGAATAAACTCGTAAAAAAGATGGTGGAAAACAGAACATTCGAGGGTTTGTGAAGTAGCGTAAGTAATAAAGCGTTTTAAGACCGTTTGGCCGTGAGTAAAAACGACCACTCCGCCGTGCTAAGGAAGAACGCCGTATGAACAATCGAGCGTTGTCAAATTTCCTTTGATAAATTGTTTATTTTTGAGGCAAGTTATGAATACTTTTCCTTGAAATTCTCAGGAACGTTAGGTAAAATTGCGATCAAAATTATTCTAAAAATTGGAAGAAAAATATTCGTAAATTTACCAGGAAATTTGTGTTTTACCGAGAGGAAATTTGGCAACGCCTGAAGGTTCATACGGCGTTTTTCCTCAGCACGGCAGCACTCTTGAGACACGACCAGCGATCTGAACTTTGATCGAACTTGGAGCAAACTTGATTTTGTCTTTTGAATCACGGTTCAATCCTGCAAAACACGGGGAAGAACAAACTGCCAACTAGGTTCCTTCCTGTAATTTAACTTCGCTCCAAACAAATATTAAACGATTTATAATTATTCTGTTTAACAGTGATTTTCAGGAGTCTTTGACATTAAGGTGCGATTAACCGGATAACCTGGGGCGGGAAATTAGATTGAATGATAATTCTCCTTAAGAGTGGCCTATTTCCACCCGGCTTTTGCTGCACCGCCAGACACGCAAGAAAAAACACAAACTGGCGTCTGGATACTTATCCGGGATGACAACTTTTTATGGATTTCAAAATTTGCTAACTTTCTCCTGACTTTTCTAAGTTTCCGAGCATACACTTTTCTGGTTATCCTTTGAATTTTCAATGTTATTAAGTCTGTAAATGTTATTCTCAAAATATCGGCGACATTGATAATGAAAAATAAATAAAGCAACACTTGCAATTTCCTTAGCCGGATCAAGAAAAGCTCCCTAGACTCGCGTCTTAGACACGTCGTGGCCTCTTTGTTCCGAGAGAAATCATCTAAAAATTTATTCCCCAGTGGAAAAGAAAACATCACAATGGTGAGGGTAAGTTGGTGAAGTTTCAAGGTTTCGCGGTAAAATTTCCTGTCTTTTCCTCTGACTTCTCTCGGTTGAGTAAAGCTTCCGAACTTATTCAAGTTTTTCCCGACTTTTCAAAAACTTGCCACCCTGGTGTAACTCATCGTTCGGATAATAGAAATTGAGCTTCATCGATGAACTTCCGTCCTAGCAGAAAGCGATTCGCTCAGGAATTGGATCGATCCAAGACGAGACTATAGGTATACGGTTTAACAAAATAACCTTTAGAATCGTCCTTAAGCGGTTCGCTTTGAAATAATTTACGTTCAGATCGAGAGGCAGATTGCATCGGATCGCTGCCCTCCTCACACACATTAAGAATTCCAACCCCTCTCACGGCGGAGGAAATCGCTCGAGGCTGAAACCACTTAAGTCCATTATCCACAAGCCTGGGGGTCAAGAGAATACCGACATTCCGAGAGGACACATGCGTTGTTTTAACACGAACCGGCTCAAGAACTGTTTTCCGGGCACAACCCGGCATCGACGATAAGGTTGATGGCATTGGCGCCTCGGCGCGTCGCGCCGGGCTTCGCGCCCCTCCGCGAAAACCACCTACCTCTATACCTGAGCTATTATGCAGATAAGTGGTTTTTGATCGAGACGGAATCCCTGCGACGTTTCGCCGAACGCTTGTCTTCAATTGGTTAAAATACGAGCGGGCCGCAATTAAGTATTAATGGCCCCTTTAATGATACCGATCTCGGTCTGAGGGAGAGCTCAGGTCGGACTCGGACCAAATCAAACAACGTTAATGTGGGTGTGTCGATTCCTTCGAGATTTTTAATTGCCCGCCCCGATGACCAGATGCTATTGATGGAGCGATGGAGTGTCCGAGTGTCTTGCCGACGCTTCCGAGTAAACTCTGCGTAATTGATGACGTCATATCGGTGAAATTATCCTATTTCTCGGTATGGTTTGTTGTCGGCCCTCGGAAATGCCTGGGATTTTACTTGTCTTTCCGGTCTGGGGCAGGGTGAATTGCGATGGAAGAAAAAATATATTTGGAATTTTGGAAGTATAGTAAAGTGTAAGACGACGATTTCTTGAGCTGAAAGTACAATTGGGGTCCGAAAACACCGGCTGATGCGAAAAACTTACATTGATTTTTTTTTGCTCGCTCATTTAATTTTAGTTTCTTTTTTTTCTTCTTCCTCGTTCGTGGAATAAGAATATTAAGAATATGAAAGAGCTAATGCATTCAAACATAAATCGTAAATGTTAATCAATGTTTGGCTTTACGCTGATTGTCAAAAGGTTGCGAGATTATACAAAAGGTACGAGCTGTAGGAATCTAGCAATTTTTCGTAGAGAATTATTTAGAACACACAACCAGAAGTTGGAAATCAGCTCCTAGGGCAGATATATAAATAACTTGAGCTAAATAGAATAAATGCAAACAACATCAAATTTTATGATTCGCATTCAATTTGATCTACTGTAAGTATGCAAACATGTCACATGTGTCTACATGCCACTGCATCGCTCTTGAAATGTATTTCTGAACTTCTCGTTGCGTGAATCGCTCTCTACGTAAACTTGTGAAGAGGGAACAAGTAACGTAAGGTTTCTCAACAAAAACTGTCTTGTTTCTAGGCTGTTTGAAACATATTATTCATCATATTTCATACATTTTTTTAAGATTTATGAAATTTTTTGCCTGAAATTTCAAAGTAGAAAAAAATGCGCACGTGTACCTAATGGATCATTCGACGAGGTTAGAAACCAATCATCAGAATACATCCACAAACAGACGCAAAATCCTTGTCCGACATGCAAATAAAAATTCCCGTCTTAAATAAATGTAACACATACATCTAGACACAAGCATTACCGTTTTTACCCGGATTTAAATTGGAGTTTTGCTTAGACTGCCTCGTAAAAAACTACAGCGAGTCAGAAAGTGCTAATTAACCGGTTATAAAACTGATGATGATGAAGAACCCGTGCGGAAACGGCATGCGGCAAGTATTTTCGCTGATTAATTAATATTCATAGGATGTCTAGATATCTGTCTGAAAAAACGCCGTGACAAGAATCCTCTGCCTTTTCTCACAATCAAGCCAGATGGAATTCTAACTATTCCTAATTTTATTCATTTTGACTGAAAACTCGAAAGCCATGCGGCCGCATGAATCACGGCAGTTTAAAATGATGTTTCTCGGCAAAAGAAGGGGAGATCTCGTTTAATTTCGGTTGATCTTATCCGAGAGAAGTAATTAATTTCCTCCA